CCGTAATGTTATCAATAATTGTCGGATTGTAATATTTGATACATTTTGACATAGCCAGAGACAAGCCACATAGCTAAGGTTCTTTGGATTTTTTATTTTCGACGAATCTTCGGAGATATTAGGCGCCAAATTTTGAAAATTTAAATTTTTACGAACTTTTTTATTAATGAATATTTTTATGTAGTATTTTACCAATGGCCCCCATTGGCTAATTCAGTTTTTCAGTCCTGGATTAATTATTTATTGTTCGATTTGTATAAAACAAAGTTCATATGTTCCGCGGTCCAAAATATCATTTTTTTTGTTACCGGTACATTTTCCTTTCGGCAACGGAAGTGACGTAAATTTAGCAAAAACTGCAATTTTGAGAGTTCGGTACCACTTTTTGAAAGCAAATATTATTTTTTTCAAATCTGGTATGACTGAAAGGGTGTGCCCTGTTAAGGCGCAGAAATCATCGCGCTCAGTTTTTTTAATCTTTATTTCGTTTTCGGATCATTTCGATTTAAAAGCGAAAAAAGGTGAAAAAATGAGCTATTCACAACCCATTCAGGCTTTTCATATTTTAATATATTTTTTCGAAACTAGTAGCAATAATCCATACGAAGAGAATGTATGTGAAAATTAGTTTGTAATATGAGCAGTTGCCGAGAAATGGGCAATTTTGCATGAGTCACCCTTTACGCTAGTTTGCCTGTAAAGGAGTCAATTATTATTCGATTTTCATAAAAGTGACACCATTTGATGCGTAATGTCAATTTTAACAAGGTCAAACCAATTTAACATTTCCAATGTCACCGGAAATGACGTAATTTGGGCAAAAATTGTATTTATAGCCTTCAAAACCAGTATTTTATTCAAATGAGTCGTATTTGTTATTTGTTTAAAATTTTGATATTTGGTACCAATCAACCAATAGAATGAACCCATACGATCATATAGGTATCACAAAATGGTTTCTAACTTGTTCAGTTGCGGAGAAATAAACGATTTTCAACAGGTAACTTTTCAAGGTTTTTGGTCCATAAAAGTGTCAATTATTATTCGATTTTCGTAAAATTTTCACCGTGTGATACCTAATGCCATTTACGATTTCATACAAGTAATTTAAGATTTTCATTATCACCAGAAGTAATGTCATTTTGGCAAAAACTGTATTTTTAGCTTTCAAAACAGATATTTTATTCAAATGAGTCTAATTTGTAATGTTTTTAAAATTATGATATTTGATTCCAATCAACAAATAGATTGAACCCATACAATCGTACAGATACCAAAAAATGGTTTCTAGAAATAGACGATTTTGGTCTATAAAAGTGGCAATTATTGTTCGATTTACATAAAATTAACTCCATGTGATGCCTTATGCCATTTCTGATTTCATAAAACTAATTTAACATTTTCATTATCAACGGAAGTAATGTAATTTTGTCAGTATCACTTACATGTAACAAATGTATACAATGAATTGATATTGCTGGATTTGGTTGATTCTGTGTACATTTTATTTGATGTGTGCAATGCTTATATGGAAACCTGTTTAATGGTTTCATCGGTACCGGAAGTGAAATATGTTCAAGGGTAACGGGGCACCGGTGAAACCCGTCATTACTGCGTCGCAGTTCTAGTTCATATATTAGATTTACTTATTTTGCTCAGCAGTGTTCATCGATGGTAAATAATTTTATTTTATTTATTCTTGCAGTGTAGAGTGTGTTTCTTCTAATTGTTGTGGCTATTCCACCATTGTCATCTCCACCAGACAAAATAAATTTCCATACATTTAGGTCATTCATTTATTATATATACATATTTTGCTCAGTGTTCATCAAGGGCAAATAAAATACTTTGTTTTATTTATCCTTTGTGGTGTTGAGTGTGTTTGTTCTAATTGTTGTGGCTACTCCACTATTGTCATCTTGACCAGACAAAATAAATTTCTATACATCTAGGTCGTTCATTTATATATTAGATATGCTTAATTTGTTCAACGATGGCAAATAAAATACTTTATTTTATTTATCCTTGCAGTGTAGAGTGTATTTGTTCTAATTGTTGTGTCTATTCCACCATTTTCTAAATGTCACAGCTGTATCCTAACTAATAACAATAAATATTTGATGACAGTACATCACCATGAAATTATTGCAATTCAACAATCTATCCACTTGGCTTTATGACTGATGGATTTGTAATGGAAGTGTATTGGAAATAATATTTGAACAATGTTCGAGTTTGTTATTTGTTAATCGAGGTGCATTAATTCATTACCATGTTTTAGCTTTGTTCAAGAGCTCGATTTATTAAAATGTGTAAAGCTGTCAATAACTCGGGGATTATAGAATTAATGAACTAGCACCATGAGATCTAATTGACTTGCTGATTGGATTCCAAGGCAATTATCATATCATTGATATAATAGTAACTGTCCAACTAGAATATATTAACTTAAATGTTAAAAACTCTTTAATATAATAAGTGGATATATTCATTTTAATATTTTCTGTCTCTCTCTCCAGAGAGTGTCGCCAACGCAAGCCTTGGAATCCCATTCTTTAGAATGTCAACAAAAAATTTACTGTATAATTCTGATGGATAACATATTTCTATATTTATTTATGGATAACATATTTACTTATGGATAACATATTTCTATATTTACTTATGGATAATGGATAACATACTTCTGTATTCAATTATACTCAGCCAAATTAAAAACTTGACACTGATGAATTTCAACAAATTTTTTTTTCTGGTAAGTCAAATAAATTTTAAAGTGTTTCTAACGATAGTAAGTAGTAAGAAGCCTTTAATTTCATAAAATTGTAAAGTCACGTGGATCACGTGACTTTTGAGCATATAAAGATGAAAAACATGCGCAAACACAAACTCGTGAGGTCAATCGATGCAAGTTTGCTTAAACTGAACACGCACACGTAACTTGAACTGAAAAAACAAATTAAAATTGTTATTTTCATCTTTGTTAGAAAATGCTGCGCCTTTCAAATGTAGAACGTCTACGTGCTATAGGTAGGCTCTATGCTGGTCAGTCTGTGGTCACTGTTGCAAGAGCCTTTAATTGTTCACGCCAGACAATAATTAATCTTAGAATGAGAGTGCTTCAAACTGGAACTATTGCCGACCGCCCAAGGGCGGGAGCGCCATGTGAGACGTCACTCCAGGAAGATCAAGCAATACGATTACGTCATCTTAGAAACAGATTTGTCACTGCAACCTCCACAAGTAGAGAGATGTTTGGTGGAAGGGTAACTGCACAAACTGTTCGAAATCGCTTGCAGGCTGCTGGTCTTCGAGCTCAGAGGCCCTTTAATGGACCAATATTGACACCTCTTCATCGCCGTAACCGACTTGTGTGGGCCACAAGACACATAAGATTTACTCAAAGACAGTGGAATTCGATTGTCTTTAGTGACGAATCTCGATTCACTTTGAGATTTGCAGATGGCAGGGTCCGAGTGTACCGCAGACGAGGTGAACGTTACGCTCAAGTATGCGTCAGAGAAGTTGACCGATTTGGTGGCGGCAGCGTCATGGTTTGGGGTTCTTTTTGTGCACATGGACGTTCTTCTCTTGTTGTCGTCCAAGGGAACTTAAATGCTGTCCAGTACAGGGATCAGATTTTGCAACCTGTTCTTCTTCCGTTTATGCAGAGACATGGGCCTGGACTAACGTTTCAACAAGACAATGCTCTACCCCATACAGCAATTGCTACCCAGAATTTTTTAAGAAATGCCGGTGTTCAAGTCCTGGATTGGCCGTCGCTTAGCCCCGACCTTAATCCTATTGAACACATCTGGGACGAACTGGGTCGACGTGTTCGTCAGCAAGTGAATCCACCACTGACGTTGCAGGACCTTCAACATGCTCTTGCTGAGCAGTGGCGACATCTTCCTCGGGTAGTGTTTACTAATGTTCTGAGATCCATGAGAAGACGTTGTGTGGCAGTACGAGACGCTAGAGGAGGCCACAACCGTTACTAAACACTTTATTCCGATTGTTCTCCAAGTCTGTGAATTTCATTTTGGGGGGTACTGTGACATCACAAACGTTATCAATGTCAAGGACTTTCGGCGAGACGTATTCTTGCTTTCGGTTGATGTCAAGGTCGCCTGTGCACAACATAACACTAAAATAGTTGCCTTGAACCAGATATTAAAAATCTAGTCCCAAAAATCCTGAGTGTCAAGTTTTTAATTTGGCTGAGTATATGTGGTTTGAATGTTTTCCTTTTGATGAGGTAAGAAAACTTTAGAATGTTGAGTAAAAGTAAAAGTATGTTATCCATAAGAATGGTTATAATTTTGGTACAATCTCCGATTAGCGATTGTAGTTAACAGATTCACGATCCATCCAATACCTCGATCAGACAAATCTACCCAACAACCAATTTAATAATATATACCATTGATAAAATGATATTGGGACAAATGAGTATAAGTACAACTATAACAGCATTGATCAGCATCAGTGTACAGAACTACTCACGGTATTTAGTCCAATTTATCAGTATTCTTTTGAAGTCTTTTTTGCTCTCTGTGCTTCTAATGTAAAATAGAGAGAGAGAGATAATTTCTAGCAAAACAGCACAAAATGGCAATAAGTCGAGAACACAGACACAACAAACGTTGAGTTCTGTACAAAGTGCCAAGAAAGTTCTGCCCTCAGACTGGTCTGGTCTGGCTTATATAGTTTCCGGAAATTTTAAAACTTTCTGGAACATTTGCTACAACTTTTTAGAACTTTTCAACTTTTTCTGAAACCCTCCAGAACCTTTCAATTATTCTAAACACTGCTTCTAGAAGTTTCCATGGTTTCTAGAAGTTTCCAAATGACGATTTTAGAAAGTTTGATTGCCTAAACGGTTATAAACTATAGATTTCGATGAATTATCATGACCTACATCACAATTTATATATTCAACTTCTAAATGCCTGTAAAAGGAAAATCTGTAACAGTCATGAATTTGTGCTTTCTGCCCTGGAGAACAAAACCCTGAAACAAATAAACAAACACAAAATGTAAAAATGTTATTTATTAAAAGATCATTGAAGCATTGGTTCTGACAGTAATTAAATACCATAATTAAATCTAGGTCATTCATTTATTAGATATACTTATTTTGCATTTAAGATATGTGCTTATTAAAACTATTAAGCAATTACCCGAAGAACCTCATCTGAGGATCAAATAATCATTGGGCTGAACCGAAATCCATCTATCCGGCCAGACACAGCACCAATCAGGCCCTGATTGTGCTGTCGTGCCCAATATTTATATCTCTGTCACATTCACATTGGCATTTAGGTTGTCTGGTTAGTACACCAGACTCACAGCCAAAAACAATACTAGACTTTCACAGTACATAATTAATCTGAAAATTAACCAGTAGATTTAATTTTGATCTTCACCTAATTTGTATTGATAACACATCTTTATCTACAATGTCAATTTATGAATGCGGCTAAATGAAACGCAGGGTCAAAAAATCAAATCATAACGGGGCAAAAATTTAAATTCTGTAGTCTAGGACTCTTTAAAATAAAGTCTGAGATCTTTAACTTTGAAGTTGATGTACACCATGACAATAATTTTCTAAAAACAAAACACAATTGAAAATTACAGACACAAAGGAATACTCCATAGCAAGCAAAAAAAGCAAATTTCATACATTTCTGATAGCTTCATATTTTGATCATAACTTAATGCTTATAAGCTTGTCTTTTAAAAAATATTGCGGACCCCCAGTGTATTACAAAAAGTTGGCTTATATAGTCACTCATATGTCATAATGCCATAGCATTGTGAAAATGTTAAATCAGATTTCCTCAAGACAATCAAATGACATGGAACAAGGAAATTTGGAATATCTAAAGTGATTATTTCAAATATCAAAAGTGATTATTTTACTTCGTGTAACATAAAGAATAAATAAATAAATGACAATTATGATTACATGACTTCAGTCACTGCACACAATATCACCACCATTAACCAGAAAAAAATCTGTAAGCTACATGTAAAACAAAAACCTTGTAGAATTGTATAAACTGACAGAGATATGTCGAAAATTGGCCAAATATCAATTTCTCACAAAAAATTATAGTGGTTAACATGTGTTTATATCAAAGCGTTTGACAATAAGAAAAAAAAAATAGAAAAGATAGAAGCCATGCTAAAAGACCTGTGTGAATCACCTTGCAGGTCATCGATCTTGCAACATCATCACTTTTATGTTATTCCTCATAGTAACTACATGGTATGGCAAACAGTTTCATTATTATGCTGTTCATCATTATTTGATCTGTCAAGTACAGAACTAAGGTAGTGACCCATGCCACTATAATAAGCATAAAATCTGAACTAAATCATGCATACAGTATATTTCACCTACATATACCGGTAGGTACCATTATTATTAAAGCCACTAGTCGTCATTTACATTTTTCAGAAAAAAATATAGTTTTACCCAGCTTAATCCATGCTAAAATGTACTCTGATTGATTATTTAATATGTAATTAAGAAAAAACCAAATATCAATGTTAAGTAACATCCCGGCTTTGATTCAGCCAGGTTAAAAAGAAGACCATCAAAGATTTTTGCAAACATTGTCGGTGGCGCTGACTTGCGTTGATGATTTCCCGTTTGAAATTACTGTTAAAAGAATAGCTGACAAGTTTATTGATTTCTTGATCAACAAGTAAAAATCAACTCTTTGTAATTAGAATAGGTAACATCATTGCTTGTTTTTTTTTTCCATCCCATCAACCGACATCAAGTGGAATCCATGAATTGTTAAAAGGAAATCAAGGTAGATTAAGTAGTCAATTAGGGCAGATTAAGTAGGAAATCAGGATAGGTGTATAACACTATAATTGAGTTCTGATCACAGAATTAATCCTGCCTATTATCACAATAATCGAGATTAGTAATAGTGATACCCTCAGTACAGTTAATATTTTAGGATTCTTAAAATTTTGAATATGATTAACTATATCTTGATGTCCAGTTGGGCGTATTGCCGTTGGACATTTGCCAATCCATGTAGGACATGTCTGGTAAATATTTCCGAACAACATCTCTGGGTTGCTCTTACCTTGTATTTTTAGTTTCCCTATGTAGTAATGTTGAAATAGAATACCCATGGCTTCAAATGAAACTTTTCCTACAAAAGAAAATTGAAATCTAATTTATCAAACCATTTTCTTGAGCTGACTGTGTATCTGAGTGAAAAATACTTTTAATACTAATGTAATTAATGTCTTTTGTCAGGAAGTCAAATTTATTCCTTAATAAGTTAAATTAACATTCAAATCTGATTTTTAGTTGTCAAGCTAGGTGATATCCATATATCTTTTGTCACTTCCAATGGAATCAATTATACCATTTAGATGTAACCAGTTACAAGCAGACATTTCATTTAAATTGGAGTCTGATGTTTGATATCTTTCTTGTTTTTTGCAATCTGTGTTATAATGGAAGCAAGTCAACTTATCAGACAGTATTAATAAAACTTTGTACTTAATGTCTTGTTTATTAATAAATGACTTTTTGTCTTCGTTATCTTCTGTTAACATGCAATATATCTAGAGGTCTAAGTTGATATATTATACACCAAATGAAATGGGATTTTAATGTCTAACTTTTCTGCTCTTTGACTAATGAAGATGTGCTATGATGTAAATTGTAAGATGATGTTATACATTTAGTTAGGTGGACTTTCACACAGATTTTGAGGTATTTAAAACGTATAAATATGTATATTATTGTCATATTTCGATTAATAATTTTTCAGTGTTTTTTTTTTTACCATGTTTTAATAGTACTGTCGATCTCTCAATTAGTTACTTAGTCGAGTTTTATTTTATATATTTTCAGATAAAAAAATACTTCAATACTTTTTCAGTCAGCTATGCCTGTTATTGTTTCATTCCTTCAATGAATCACCTTTTGTTGATCTGATTAAAGATTATACTGAAATTAAAGTGAAAAGCCTTTGCTTTGTTTGCCAGTTAACCAACATTGCCATCTCAATGGTGCCCACCTGCTGGCAACTCCCAATCATAAATATTGCACAGACAGTGGCACTACAGCCTACTCTTTTATTTCGAATTCCAACTGTCAAAGGTTCTTTTACATGCATGGGAACTCAGTTTTTCATCCTATCCGAAAACAATATGTTGTGCCTTGCCAGGCCTTCCATCCTACACCACTGACAATGGGGAACCATGCCGGAAAATCCTGATGAACTTTCTCAGCCAACATAGTGATTGTACACGGATCCTCCAGGTTAACGAACCAACGTCATACTAACAGAGCCACAGCAGCTCTTATACGTCTATTGAACCTAAACTTCATGACATTATACCTGTGTAAATTGTTGTATCACAGACAAATTATATTTACAATAGACAGATGGCTGTATCTTATTATAGATATCTAGTACAAGTCTTGCAAGGCAGGACAATTTACCCAATACCACCCAATACTACCCAATACTAATTAATAAATACTACCACATACTAACTCAATATTGTGAATAATAAAAATAATACTTTAATTATGTAAAAAAAAAAAAATTAATTCATGGAAAACATGCAGAAAAATGTATGACAAATGAGATTGTCAATGTCCCTCGATCTATTATCTCCCTTGGTGATCCAGTACTTACAAATATTAATCCATGCTATCAAAAATCAATTTGTTTTTGATAAATAATGGGCCAATAATACACAAACTGAGATAAAAGTACAATTATTTGGATAACGATGTCAATATGTTTGTTTGTGGAACATAATAGATATTTCAAATGTTTACACTTTTTATAGGAATTAAGTACTCAATGATATTAAATTAATTGAAGAATTCTGTCAAGTTTTGAATAATAATAAGGTTGTATGTGGTTGTATTTAACAGTTTGGGGTTAGAAGTGGGATATATTTGGTAATATTTGGCTAGTCTTTGAGAGCTACCTGGTACAAATACTATAAATAGGCTTTTCAAGTTCATCATAAAAAATTTGTCAATTCCGCAAATTAACTCAATTTTTGTGTGTGTATAATTCAACAAGTGTGATAATTTCTCAAAATAATGAGGTAGTATTTGGTGGTATTTGGTAGTATTTGGATGTATTTAATTGGTATGAGGTCTACCACAATCCTTAACTTCTGCTGATAGCTATATTTTTGACAGATGCAGGCCACTTTCCCAATCCTTCATATAATTGTGGGATTTTGAATCATCTGAAACAATAATTAACACATATCAAGAATTTTAAAGCTTTGTGTTATTCATAATGTCATTGTTACATTCTTTGAAGGATTGAAAAGACTCAAGTGATTTCAAATTTAGAGTGATGAAATTTTACTATTCAATACCATTTCTGTAAATGGTAAATTCTGTCACTTTGCTGCAAAACAGCATAAACTAGAAGGTTAGTAGGGAGTGTCACTGTGCAAGTTTACTACAGTACAATGTGATTGCTAGTCAAGAAACTTGTTTTTAACCCCACCGGATAACTCTGAAAACTAATTTAAAGGATTCTAAAAACTTTACACACACAATTGATCAATATATCTGGGATTTCTTTTTTAAATACTGCCTGATGTATTACACCCATGCTCTACCAATTTATATTTAGAAATTGCGTCATTTCATCTCTTCTATAGTGAATCTGACAGAAAATCTAAGATCAATAAGTAAATGCTTTGGCTATTTATCAAAGTTTTTCTTTTATTTGTGTACAACAAGAACTACATGTACTACAAACAGTTAATATACAGTTACTACCATGGTCATATGGTTGGTGGTAGGGACAGATGGCTAATTAAAAAAAACGCTCATTAACTTAACACAATTTATAATATGATTATTAATTACATCAGTATGTGATACAGATTTGATCTAATTATTTCTACTCAACTTAATTAGATAATTAGTTTCTATATATAACATGCATGGTCATTATATACATACCTACGTTATCAATCAAGTCTACCCAATTATCTAACAATATCTGTTTGTTCAACTATAGTATTTAGCACCTATAAACAATGTACTCTGATGTGGCTAAATGTTGAACTGGCCGAATAATGGATATTTTCTGCTTAGAATTAGGTGTAGGATCATTACTTAAAAGAAAATCTTAGAACCCATAGTCCTGATAGTCAAAGTCAGGCAAGCAATATAAATGGATGACTATATACATTAAAATGAGTACCAGTATATTCTATGATATGTATAATAGATTTTATCTGAGAGGTAAGTTTTGTACGTTCTAAAATTGTCAAATACTGTTAATTATTTACAGTCAATATAGTATATACTCAAATTCAATTATCAATGAGATTAAACTAAGTAACTCGATTTTAGCTTGTTATGTAATATATTAATTCTGAAGGGCAAAGCATTGTTACTCGGATTGGATGAATAACTGAGGTCCTGTGTACACATTGACGTGCATGGCAAAGAACCCTTGGCAGTTGGAATTTGATGTAAGAATAGGCCTTGGCTCTCTACTTTTCGGGCAAAATTTCCCTCACTGCATGTCATATACCCCTCTTCATTATCCTAGTCGGAGCAGAAAAGTAGGACATTAAACCCCATTTCATTTCATGTTAATTCTAAGTTAAAGCCACTGATCATCATTTGCCTTTTTTCAGACAATATCTAATTATTAACAGCTGAAAATGTACTAAAATTGATTATTTGACATATAATTAAGAAAGCAAAACCAGAATATCAATCTTAGATGATCATGGCTTTGATTCAATCGGATTAAAAAGCATGGTAGTAGCTGGTGTTTAAACATCTGCTTCCATTGTAGTGATACTACAAACATTTTCAAAAGAGACCCATCAAAAATTTTGTACCCAAAACCTATAGGTGGTACGGTCTTTTTTATATCATCTCTGCAGGATGTCAAATGTTGCGAACTTTCAAATCCATCAATATCTTGGTAAACACTGAACAAACTTGAAACATTTATGGACAAATATTCCTTTTAGATTTTCAATGCAATATTGTAGTTAGCAAAGAATTCAAAATCCCTAAAATTGTAATCAGCACTTTAAGAAAATCATAAAACTAAGATAATTTCCTAGTTTGTGATGAATTAGGAAATACAAAGAATATTTTTTTTTTTCAAATATTTCTTTTAAAATATGTCAAGCTACTATATAAGTACAAGTATGTCTGATATTATACTTTTATCATTTGTGTTAGATTCATTTCTCTCAATATCTATTTTATTCATTTGAATTTCAACAAATCAATATAGTAGGTGTGAAAAATGGGATCCCAAACCGGTATGTGACAAGGAGTTATCTCCCGCTGCTAAAACCCCTACTCTCCAATTATTGAAATAAGATTGAACCTTATGTTCATCAAAATCAAAAACACACTTTTATGGATAACAATTACTATGGTTTATTTCACTGCGACGTTTCAACAAGGTTTCACAAGTCGTTATCAAGCATGTGCATACCGAAATGACCTAGTTTTTGTCAAAAGGACGTTAATTCTCATTTCTCTCTATTGTCAAAAAAACTTTATTATTAAAGATGGGTTCCCAGAAAAGTATTCATTGGGTGGTTATTTCCAATAAAAGTATGGCAATTTTGGTATATTTGGAAAGTAGAGATATCCAATCTTACTAGAAAAATACTGGATTCCCCGAAAAACACTCATGGAGTGTACACAGGACAAAAATGTAAGGGTTCCCCTAATCGACAGCCCGACGATTAGGAATTTCTGCACACGTTATGTAGGTCACACGCGAACATTGAGCGCTTGATGTACAAGTTGATGAACTTTATGAAGAGTTAGACGTACAACACTTTCTGAGATAAAAATGACGGAAAAAGACGCGGGTAGTGGATAATCCGAGAATTTAATTAGGATTCGATGTTTGTAATAGATAGTTAGCGATTAAAGACAACATCGTCTTATGTATGCAATGAATTCTCCTCTGACTTCCAAGAGAGGTAAGTCACGTGACATAAACATGATCTGGTTTGATCGAATTTTTATAGCAGGGCATTCCTTCGCATTACAATGTTTGAGAAGGATTTGAAGCAAAATTATGACTATGTTTTTAGTCCATTGTACCATTAAATCACCCAGTTTGTATGCGGGAATGTATCTTTAAAGTCATAACCAAAATTAAAACATTAACAAAAATAGAATCTAATTTGTAGAAAATGATAATATTTGATCAATTTATTTTTTTATAAACCAACTTATGACAAAGATCAAATATGGTTGATGATGTGTTTTATAACATGTGGTTAATTTTTTATGTTTGTAGCAAATCCATTATTTCATTATTTTATTTTTGTTGGAATAATTAAGACTGAGATTTTAATAAAAGTTTTCAACCATGCAACAGTTGGTGATCTGCTATATTATTCGTGGTTAATTCATTATATCTGTTATGTTGGTGGAAAATCAACAATTGCCAATGTTATTGTCACATGATCAGCAACACTGATACAGTATGAGATAGAAGATGGAGAGTATTAGCTGGCAAGACTCACACATCAATAATACTGATACATTCTTTATCAGAATGCCACAAGACGAGCTAGAAATGAACATTGCCTAAGACAACCAGTAAAATTCTACGTATATGGCAGTTTTTACGAGGATTTAAAACCCGAACAGCTGCTACAATATGTAACATAGTATTAGACATGTATTGTTCGTCTGTGAGCAGAAATTATGTGGACCTGTTCCGTCAGGAGTAACACAAGACAGGACGTCATTAGTTTAAACAGTGGTGACTTGCAGTGGTGGAGAGTTATTACTGGCAGTCTTTCACAGATTGTACAACTTTCGCTCATTTATTAATTAACTGTGTGTTGCTCTTAATACATATTGGTTTGTCTGTACTGACTGATTCTATTCTTCCTATAGCTTTATGCGCTTCCAATACTGTTATATTCCTAACTGCTGTCTGTGTATGCTTCCTAAATGACAAACCAGAAACAAATTGTGAACTGAGAATGGGCAAGAAGTTAAATGATTATTTTAGTGATCAGTTGTATAAACTAAAGGTAATGTTTGGTTTATCTCTTGGTCCTTCAGCAAAAGAAGAGAAAGCTGTAGCATCTGTGGTGCAGGAACCCATTCCAACTTCAAAATTTCTCAGTATTTTAAGACAGAAGAAATCTGACAAAAGACTCAACATTGAAGTTAGGGTAAGTTATCTTTTTAAACTCTTTATCCATATTCTATGTTCTTTTGTTTCATGGATTATAATTTAATAAAAACATTAACTATTTTTTCTAAATAATTAAATTGATTCATTTTTAGAAAATTGAAATTTTGACTATTTTTTGCTAAAATATATGCAGAAAAGAACATGAAAAGCAATTTTTGGACAACTCTTTCTTACATATGGGGTGAATCTAGAAAGAAAAGGGGATTTTGAAAAGAGGTCGTGATTCACAATAGACATCAGGAGCATGAAGGGATGTGCACCACTTCATATATGTAATTTCATATTTTAGATTGAAACTCAGGTTTATTACTTTTATTTTTTTTCACATATTTTTCATGTTTGTAGTTTGCAATATAAACTATTTAATGGAGAACGGATCTGTTTAATTTCAAGACAAAAAATAGCATTGCATTGGGTTGGGCTGATCAGATGTGCTATTTTATTTTGCGAAAACTAAGCCCTGACTAAAATAAAAGGGAATTTCAGTCTCTTTATGTGTTTTAAGGCACACAAATTCGATTTTCTGTTCTTCTAGAACACCTGTAAAAAGTTCCTTTTTATTTCTTCAAGAAAAAGACTTATTGAAAAAAGTACCAGTACTTGGTTGTGCTGTTCAAAAGGTTTTATTTCCAAATTTTCAAGCTTTGGAATTTTGAACAAAACATATTCCATTTGATTTATGTGGTTATTTATTTATCAAGACCCTGAATAAAAAGGCTTCTGCAATATTTCAACAGCTAATTAATCTACAGAAGTCATATTTTTAATTTAGAAAGATATCCATCTCACATTAAAAATAAATAAACAATACATACATTTTAATGAAATCTGTTTTATTCACCAAATCAATGAGATCATGTCATGTTCTCTCAAAAAAGACATATCCTTCGTTATGTTATTGGGCACAATATTTACCAGAAAGATAGATGTATTCCGAAATTATGAGTATCGTTATGTAAATGTGTTAGAAAATTGTGATTAATGTTGGAACTAACATCTAGACTAAAGCCAATTTCTTTGACATGTAATATATTAGAGTCACGCTAAAATATGACCTAGTCATCCACTATAAAATCCAGTGTGGAATAAGATGGGTTTTATAAGGATTTAGCTGATATATACCAGAAGGTTTTTAAGTGGAATATGTCATGACTATGTGATGTACACCAGTTGATTGACAGAACAGTATAATTGTTACATTATTCCTGCTAAACACCATGATGTTGTGGGGTTTTTTTTAAGAATAATCCATTCAGTAATTACATGAGATTTGTCCATCAATCACATTTTCCTCCTGTTTTTTTTCTTTTGGAATTATCTGATTTTACTCCAGATTGCCATCATATGTTGATTCTCAATCAATGTCTTTAAAGGTGAAGAATTTGTTGTGCAATTCAGTTTGATACATTTTCATGTATACTTCTATGAAACACAGTTATATGTGATGTTGAGGGTTGGGTGGTCCAGTGGTTTTTAAGGTGTGCACTTTAGATTGCAAGGCTTGTCATTGAGTCAAGTGGTATGGTTTCGGTCTCAAGCTTGTATGTGACGAGGAGTAGGGTCGCCTACCCAACCTCACAGGTTTTCTCCAGGACCTCAGGTTTGCTCCCACAGCTAAACACACAAATGAGTTATTAAAATACAATTGTACTATATTTTCATCCCGAAATGACCTATTTCGAATCGTGTGGGTATTAAACTCGATTTCTCTCTATATTTATGTGATGTTACCTCAACAACATGTGAAATGTCTCATTTCCATCACAATTAGATGAAATTTGTTATCCCTATAGGAATACTTGTAGGTATATGATATATATATATATATCATTCCCATTAAGAACATACAACATGTTACATTCTCAATTACAATTTGATGTGACATGATACTTTAATTACAAGTCGATATGATGTGTCACTTGATAATGTAAATGTGATATACTTTTATTACATGTAAATGTGATACACCACTTTCATTACATGTGGATGTGATATGTCACTTTCATTACATGTTGGTGTAATTTGTCACTTTAGTTAGATTATAATAATGTGGTGGGCAATGTGTTTACCTGTAGATGTGACATTCCACTTTCATTACTCGTAACTCTGATATTCCACTTTCATTACATGCAACTGTAATTATGGCTCTTATATGTGTAAATATAATGTCATGTTAATGTGACACATGTCACTTTAATCACAATGGGGAGTTGGATGGACGAATGGTTAGCGCATGCGCGTTGTATCATAAGGTCTATCATTGCGTCAACTGGTGTGGTTTCGATTCCACGGTTGTACCTGACAATGAGTAGAGACGTAGGTTTTCTAGGTTTTCTCCGTGTCTACCACTTTCCTCCCACTGCTAAAGACCCCTATGCGTAAGCGAATTATTGATATAAAATTGAACCATGTTAGTCCCAAAATAACCAGGTTTGTGTTGAATGGACGTCGTTAAACACCCTCTCTCTCTCTCTCCCAAAATGTGAATTTGGTAGGTACCATTGATCAGATATTGAAATATGATACATGTGAATTTGGTAGGTACCATTGATCAGATATTGAAATATGTTACATGTTGTACAAATGTATGGAGATGTGATGTGCCACTTTTATAGCATATAAACGTGATACCCATCCCCTCGCCCACAATTTCATTACACGGGAATGTTACTTCAGTGATGTGACATAGGTGTGGTCTGAAACATAGAATGTTGTATGCCATGTCCATTACATTTTCATTGATGTTGATATGAATATATCACTTTCATTAAATATGTATATGTGGCTTTCTCTATATCTAATTTCATTCCGGTTTAAATTTTAGATGGCATAAATTTAAAGATCTAATTACTTCTTCATCCATTCCAAGTTTAATTGTAGCCCCTTTTATTGGTTAAAATATTTCTTCTCCAAGCCAACGCGTACTTTTATTGGCAATATATGACAGCTGGTAATTTGTTCATGGCTAAAAATGACGAGGACTGGTGCAGATTGTCACGGGACATCAGGAATCTGACACGTTTCTATCCACAGTCAAGAGCAGAGAATTTTGTCATTCCTAACTCGTCTGGGATAATGTGCTCAACCCTCTCATGAGAGATGCCCACAACACTGGCAATATCTCAAGAGGTTAAAGGACGATCAGCCATCACCTTGTCATGCACCCGGCTAATGGACTTCTTTACTTTGGAAAAGGAAAGGGCATCATCCCCGAAAGTGGAGACCATGTCGGCATGTATCTGTGTTGGGGTTAGTCCTTTCAGTTGTAGGTACTTGATGAATGCCCTATAGCCAGTTTTGTCCATTTCTGGTGATTTCAATGGGTAGGTTCACAAGATGGTCTGGTACCTACAGTTGCAGTTCTTATGTCTATGATTCATTCATTGATTGTACATGTTGGTGACAAAAGTTTGTTTCAACCCAAGTGATCTATCCTTTTCAGGTTTAGAACTTTCCAGCCAGTCCTTGTATATATTGTGATCTGATACATGCTCATGCCATAAATCATATCTTAATATAAAAGTCATTCCTTAGATGTTATATCACTAGAACTATGAATGCTATATACAATCATTTCAGTTTGTAATTTGACTTGTTTTTTTCAAATATGATCTATTTATAGTTTTCAGATTAGGATGATAATAAAACAATTATGTGTCAGTCTAAAAAAACCATGGAACATTTGTTATTCTTGCTTTCTCTACCCTATGGGTAGTCATATTTATATTCATTGAAATAAAACATTGCATTTGTCTATTTTGAGAAAGAGAATTAGAAAAAAAATGTGAAGGAAATCACAATTCTGTTGAAATGACCTTTGGCAAATTGCAGTTGACTTTCTTTCTTGTATTGGGGATAAATGTATCTTTTGTAATGTGTTATAGTTTATCATTTATTTTGTATTATATTTTGACAGGCAATTGTTCGGAATCAGGAAGACTTCCCTTATACAGTTGCTCAAGAGACCCACAATGCCTTGATGAATGTGAAACAAGAAGTTGTAACATGTGAGTAAAATATTTCTAAATGAAATGGAGTTGAACATTTTACTTGTCGGCGCTAACCACATTACTAAACATTTTCAAAAAATGTATAGTTGTTTTGATGGAAACAAAAAATGACGTCACATATACACATTGGCGTGCACGTAAAAAAGAAAACTTGACAGTTAGAATTCGATATAAGAGTAAGCCGTAGGGTTGTTGTCCAGGCAAAATTTACCAGGTCGAGTCATAGCAAACTGCATGGCATATGCTTGTTTTCATTAGCCAAGTCAGTAAAGAAAATGAGAATTCTACACCTCTTTTCATTTTTACTCTAAACATTTTCCTTTAATTAATAAGGCCCTATATCCTGCACCACTAGCAACAAAAATCAAATATTAAGATGAAAATAAAATTCCATGTCTATGTAGATTTTTAATTATATCCTATTCAATCAGCAAAAAACACTATACTGATTTGTCCCTGTATCAACTTATTTAATCTCGTCTGGTTGAAATATTTAAAAATATAATTGAATTCATAACTTAAAGAGAAAGTTTGCTGAAAATTTTAGTTTTAAGTAGATCAATATCCAACAGTGTTTATGGTTGAGAGTAATTGAACTGGATGTATCGTTAAAGAGGTTAAGAGAGAGCTCTGACCTTTTCATGCTGTGATTAGACCTCTTAATAAATTTGAAAATTGGTTTCTTTCTGTATTTCCTTCATATGGTAATTTCAAAAGATTATCAAGTTGGTTACATAAGCTGTCAATACCAGGGCTTATTGAGTAACACACTAATTCGCTTACTTGAAAGTCCCAGGTTCGATTTGACTTGGCCAGGTTCGATCTTACTGTTTTCCGGTGTGGTTTCCCCTCTTCGGTTGTGCTTGAAAGGGGGCCTGGCAAGGAACATTGTCTGGTCATTTGGATGGGATGAAAAACCTAGGTTCTGTGTACACATTGACTAGCATGTAAAAGAACCCTTGACAGTTGGAATTTTAGATAAGAGTAAGCTGTAGCGATGCATCCGTGCAAAATGTCCCTCATAGCAGAAAAGTAGGATGTTAAATCCCATTTCATGTAATCATAGCATAAGATTCACAACAATAATCTCCTCATAATAACATCCCTGGAAAATATACGTCACTTTAACATTGACCTGTGTTGTTCATGCATTCCTTTGTCAAGTTTCCGTGAAGTCTTTAACTTGTATGTTATAAAAATATACTGGTAGATGAACATGTACACTGACATTGCAATTAGTGGTTAATCACCCATTCTCTTTATTTATGCAGTCTTTAAAGTAAGATACAAAAAAACCCTGTAATATTAGGTTGTTGCTTGGCATCAGTAGAAAATTGCTTTTCCCTTTGTAGTAAGCTTGATGCCTTAAAGCTTGAAAAGATGGCTAGAATAGTGGATCATCTTTGTATGCATGAAATACAGGTTTTATTCTCATCGCCCATGTAACTGACAGATGGATTTTTTTCCATTAGTTACATCTTTCTTGTCAGCTATGGAAACTGCTTAATCAAGGATTGGAAACTAATTGCTTCACACCAGTTGTAATTTGCCTGCAGCAAGGAAACAATCCTCTTGTAATACATATAAAATGTGGTTGAATTTCTCAACATACCAACTAAAAGTCAGGGCTTGGGAAGTTGTTAAAGGTGGCTAACATAGAATGTGTTCATTATTTATTTATATTTTACATAGAAAATTATATAAATTCAAACTTCTGATTCATTCCTTTCAAAAATCAATATCGAACTGTCCCAATTTTTTTATACATAACATTTATTTTTGGAGGTATATTGTTCACCTGCATCTGTTGGTCTGTCAAACTTTTATTATAAAAGTTGTTGTACGCCCATCTTCATTAGCCCAGTCGGTGTAGGACGTTAAACCTCATTTCATTTCGCCATGATCTTGAATTAATCAAACATTATTTTCTGTTTTGTACAGACAAAAACTAAGATGTTTTAATCGCAATCAAATGAAAGTATGGCTTTATTCCAATACCATCAGATTAGTTCAGTAAATATATTTACTACTCAGCATGCCGTGACACTTGGTTAAAACTAATTATGTCAATTGTTCAAGGGACTTTTTACCCTTAGGTAGATTTATTGCTAAATTACATCCTATCTTATGAAATCTGTATATATAAAAAAAATAGACTGCCAAACCATACTGTAATAAATTTATGTTCTGTACAGTTAGACAGAATATTCATTTATTCATAATGAAAATTAATGGCAACTACCATGATGAGTGTGGGAGTTACATGGTCTAACTTAAGCATGCACATTAAATGATAAGCTAGATCTTCATTAGCTCATGAGTTGGTGCAGAAAACCAAAATGACCTAGACTGTGTTGTGTATGTTTAGCCCCATTTTTATTAATTCTTGTATAGTTATTATATATTGTTAATAGTTAATTATATTCAAAAAGAAAACGGGAACTAAAAACGTATATGAACAGATTTTTTTTATTTCAATTCTGCAAATGATTTAGTATCAGTACTTCTATAAATCTTATGATATTGAAGTGTAGTTAATTTCAGAGGAAAAATTGTTCTGAATTAATTTTGTGGTTACATCTACATTAATATTTGAACAGTTGACTTATGTAGGTTATTTCCTTGTAGAAAAGTCTTGAGTATCGACAACTGACTTGTGACCTCTTGTACGTCTTAACACGGCAGGTGGCACCAACTGTCATCAAATATTCATCAATGTTTCTTTAATTAGACCTTGTCACATCATTTTGTAGAAAATAAATGCAGGATATCGTGGAATGGTGAAGCATGACGATGGTTTATAGGATAATTTTGATGATTATATTCCAATATCTGATTGCATATCATTGTATAGACGGCTTTATAAATATTTATAACAATAGGACACAATGGCATATGCGAAAAAAATAAATGTGTATTAATTAATTCTTGGCATTTAAGCGTATGGTTATATTGTTCTAAATCATTCCAGACCTAGCTGTGGTCAGTGTTCTATTAATAACTTAGATCCCAGGCTTGTACCATCTTCATTAGCCCAGTCGGTGCTGAGCAGTAGGATGTTAAACCCCATTTCATTCATCTCCCAGGATTGTATGTAACCATGTATTTCTTAAACTGCTTGCTTATAATTAATGTATAATTGACTCATCATGACTAGCTTATTAAACATATTAAACATAATATCAAGGCCGTATATCGAACTTTCGACTGACATGCGGCCTCGCTTCGTACGCTCTATCATTTAGCCTCGGGAGTATGACATCAACGTAGCGGTTAATCTCCGCTTACGTTGCCATTTATGGATTTAATCAATCAATGAAATCCTGTTTATATCCAAGCCATCCGTGGGTCTACATAGTTGATTTTGGGCTTGTTGTGTAAATAAAGATCTAATTTATAATTTCTATGACATCTGAGGCCCAAAGGAAGACCGACAATAGGCAGATTTAGCTCTTGCATAATGTATGTTTAATGAATGGGTCATTAATTTTTGTTTTGATTTATAGCAGAATCAATTTTAATACCCAGATGACAGATAAATGAATTATTTATTAAGAGTTATCTACTCTATTACCCATTTCACCATTAATCCAGTCATGGCTGTCTTCATGACCCCATCGGGCAGTCGTGATTCCCTTTTCACCTCGTAATCCATTACGATTTTAATGGAAGAAGCTCCATCAGCTAAAAGACAAAGAGTTAATTTCATTACCACCAACCAGTCCACCAATGTTAAAGCAGTAAATTTACCTGATAACATTTTGCCTCTCTACAGTTCTACAGTTAGAAACCTCCGGAGCAAAGATGCCCACCTACAAGTACAAGGTGATTTTCTAGAATTGTGTCATGCAGCCTAAATCATACCTCTTTTTTAGACCAAGAATCTATACCGGGAATACTATCAACCAAACTAAAGTTGCGGAATACAGAGCCGGTGCCACCAAAGAATTCTGTCTTACGATGATTAAAATACACATTCAATACTTAGAACAAATCTGTCAGAAGATTAACAAAGATCTACAAGAAGCTAAAACTAAACTCACAAATTTATGTGACCCTCATCAACTCAAGGAAGCAGAACAAGCCATCTCTGCAGTGATCGAAAGAGAAATTTCCACTTACCGTGACACTCCAGTCGAAATCTTGACTATCAAATAATTAAACAATTTGATACAAACCCTGGCCTTTTAAAATTTACTACCAACAGACTCACCATTGAACTTTATTGGATTATATGATTAAAAACCTTTCAACCACATGGTATCAATGACAAAATTTATTTTCTTTGAATTATTTATTGTATTCCACATTTTACTTGATACCTTAAGACACAAACACAAATAAATTGTTTTGAAATAAATAGTTAATGAGATATTTTAGACTCGACATACCTATATTTTATTAGGTTTTATTGGATTTAAAGAGTCTAAAATAACTTCTATTTTACAAGCTCAGTCGGAGATGGTTTTAAGTAAGGAAAATCAATCAAAATTGAAGTGAAAAATAAAAAACTTTCAGAGCATACAAAATAACCAGATAATTACACCAAAAAAGCATATTGTTTCGTTTTTCAATTAAATGTTATTGATCAATTTGAGTACATTTTATTGAAGATTAGATATAGTGCCAATAAATGCAAATTATGATCAAAGGTTTTGAATAATTTCTCTAATTGTACAGTGGCGTTTTGAGTAGCGGGGGTCCAGGGTGAAGACAATGTCAAGTTTAGGATGGGGGGGGGGGGGGTAACTGAAAATTTGATAAAATCATGAGGTCTGAGACAATACTACTGCTCTTATAGGTGCAAACCTGTACGGCTCTATTTCCACGAATGTTGGAGAAAAAAATATGCTCTGTGCGAGCCGTAGAGGCCCTTCCCTCTTTGCCTGCCTCCTGAATAGAATAATAACTACATGTATGTTGTATGTAATATGTTCTCATTTTAAAAAATCTCATCAATGCCAAAACACTTTGGGAGCCAGCGTTTGATTATTTAA